GAGCTGAAGGACTAAATGGCGCTTGATAGGCAAGTCTTCATAGTATGGGTTTAGATCAGAGCTTGTATTCAGTCGGTTCTGACCAGTTCTGGAGAACCGGTAGCGGAAATTTTGAGTAGTTGGGAGAACCGGCCAATCCCACCTCTGACTGGGCCTACTAACCCTATCTCTTCTCTGCCTCCCATTGAATCCCAGCTGATCGGCTGGGTCTTCTTTGGTTGCCCTGCCCAGGAGAACGGAGCTGGAAAGCAGGTTAGTGGGGTGAGAGGGAATGGGGATTTTGCAGTATATCCTTCCCCTGCCATGCCCACCAAGCCACGCCCATAGAACTGGTAGTAAAAAAAAAATGGAATCTCACCACTGGTTTATATAATCTGTGTGATTGTCCACCTCCAATTATTTCTGCCAGTCCAGCAAAATCTGATAGGGTTTGGCTGCCATCACTTAAGCAATGCCATCTGGCAGGACCCCAGAAGTGTATTTTCTCTGTTGCTCTTTGGAATAACATGCCCTGCCCCCCTGAGATGTAGCTGGCCCATCCCTGTCTACCTTTGCAAAGGCATTAAAGATCTGGCTCTTTCCCCAGGTAAGGAGTGGTCTGGTCCATTCAAATGATTTATTTCTGGCGTGTCATACCCTAATGTTTTCATGTTTTATTTCTATTATTTGTTGACTGCATTTTTTGATAGTGTCAATTGCTGTTCATTGATAGGTTGCCCTGTGAGTCAAGGAGGCACCTATATAATGTAAATTAACTAACAAATAAAACAGAACTCTGGCAAATAAGAATAACTCCATCCACACTCCCAAATATGGTAATCTGCTTGATCTTGATGACTATAAGGAGAGGGCTGAAGAAAATCAACTCACTTCTCTCAGGTGAGTCCTAATTCTGGCTATACTTCCTTGTGCATATTCATCTCCAGAACTCCTGATAAGATCAGACTCCAACTTCTAGGCTTACTCTTCTAGTTTTTCTCCCAAGTCTTCAATCTTCTCAAGAACTTCGTGGAAGCTAGTTAACCACCATGCTAGTCAAAACTGTATAGGAAAGAACTTTTAAGTTGTAAAAGTCGTAAATTACGGTTTGTAATTCTGTAAATTCTGTACGCCAGATGTGATTGACCACTGGATGCCCTCCAAATATTATTGAAGTTTAACTTCTCCTTATAGGTTCGGGAGAAAGACTGGGAGTTGCAGTTCTCAAATGTCAGAAGAGTCACGCATTCTTCATTCTGGTTCTAGACTGATCTTTTTCAGCCCTATCCAACCTAATACTTCACAGTGCCAGTCCAAAAGGGAAGCATTTGTTAGATTATAGCATCCTGGGCTACATCTAGGTTTGCTTTATGTCTGTGCCCACCAAAACATGGACGGGGCAATGACATTAATCCTAATCTGCATGATGTTTTAATTTTCTGCAAATTTGTACCCATGCCGTTGTGGGAGGATTAATCAAATGTGCATATTCATTCAACTTTGCCACTAAGTTCTTCAAAATATGTCACACATGTATCTGTGATCCTAACTATTTGTTCATTAGATTTCTACTCCACCTTTATTTTGTATAACTCAAGATGGCACACACGGTACTCCCTTTCCTATTTTCCCAGCAACAACTATGTGAACTGGGCTGAAAGAGAGAATAAACTGTCCCCAAATCTCCCAACTGGCTTTTGTCTAAGGAAGAACTAGAAGTCTTAATCTCCTAGTTTCTAGAGGATCACAAGAAAAATCCCTAAACTCGGTGTTTTGATGATCATATATGCCTAGACATCTTTCCCCTATGATTTGGCTGAGGTCAAACTAGGGTTACCTTAATGGATGACAGATGTAATACTTCTGTTCAACTTTTCTAAGAAATACAAGAGTTGCTTTCTTTCGGTGCTTATATTCTGCCACTGCTAATAATCTCGAGGGTATATTGAAACAAGACAATTCAAGACAACTCCCCCAATTCCTTCGTTGCACAGTAGGAAATTCAGGGAGGCATTTTCCCTAGTTGAAACAGAACCTTTCCGAGTCATTCAATGGATCTGAGCGTACATCATAAATAAATTACTTCTTGCCAGCTTCAGACAAAGGGTTTTGGAAGACACGCCAGCAACTGTCTTCGAGGGAGAGAATAGGATTTAGTTGAAAAAGGAGGGATAGGAGAAAAGAAGTAACAAGCTCATTTCCCTCCACATTTAAGAGTTTCTTGACCATTCCAATGCTCATCTGCCTATTCCTATTTGGAGTTAGTTCTAAGTAAAATAAATTCAACAGAGATGTCTTTATAATTTGTTAATTTTCTAAATGTCTTTATAACTTTCTAAATGTCTTTATAATTTTCTAAATGTCTTTATAATTTTCTAAATGTCTTTATAATTTTCAAATTATTTATTCAGGCATTTTCAGGAAACATTGAAGAAAAGAGTGACATGTTCCATCTGTCCAGATTATATAGAGATAGGTAAGCCTCATGTTTCCAATCAGGAAGATTCAGGTAAGAACAAGGTGAGCTAACCTCTCACCTTCTTCTAATCTAATTCTAATAGACAAAACTCTTCCATCAGAAGGACTGAAGGGCGATCAATGTTGAGAGTCCTTCAGAGATTGGATTAAGTTAGTTTTATTTTTGAAAAGGCAACTGGACTGATTTTTTTGAGGAAGAAGAAGAAGAAGAAGAAGAAAGACCTTTTGCTTCCTTTCCTGGAAGTTTCATCCATTGTAATCACTTCTGATACAACGATGACCTGGACGACTGAGGATCTTCATAGACATTTGGCAAGTATACTTTGGGATGAAACATCCTTCAGATGTTGGGTTACCACACCCATCAGCCTTGACTACTGGCTGGGACCTCTAGAAGGATAGAGATTCTGAACTTAGTGTTCCTTTGGTTCCCTGAAAACTAAAGAAGCCAAATCTCTCTATCTTATTCCCTGACATATTTGCAAGAACAGGTAACTGTCTGACTTTAGAGAGACAAAACCAGATGGCCTCTCCCAAAGTGGACAACACCCAGAATGGTTTAGCCATGGATATCCATTCTAAATACCCTCAAAACGATGCTATAGAATACTACACACCAGAACAACTAGATACAAGGACAGTTTTTCCCTGAAAGCCATCACTCTGCTAAACAAATAATTCCCTCAACACTGTTCAACTATTACAAAGTCTGCACTACTATTACTATTAATCTTCTCATCACTCCTTATCACCCATCCCCTCCCACTTGACTGTTTCCTGGTATTTGTGATACATTTTTGAATGTTCAGTTGACTGAGTTTCATGTTTAATGAATAAAGTATATAATTATATGACTGTAACTTTGTTATGACTGTAACTTTGTCGCTTGTGTCCTTATGATTTATATTGACTGTTTCCTAGTATGATATGATTGCTTATCGTACCCTGTGACTATTATTAAGTATTGTACCTTATGATTCTTGACTCTTGATGAATGTATCTTTTCTTTTATGTACAATGAGAGCATTTGCACCAAGACAAATTCCTTGTGTGTCCAATCACACATGGCCAATAAAGAATTCTCTTCTCTTCTCTTCTCTTCTCTTCTCTTCTCTTCTCTTCTCTTCTCTTCTCTTCTCTTCTCTTCTCTTCTCTTCTCTTCTCTTCTCTCCTCTTCTCTTCTCTTCTCCTCTCCTCTCCACTCCACTCCACTCTACTCTATTCCTATATTATCCTATCTTCTATTCTATTCTATTTCACTCCAATATTTCTATTCTATTCTATTCTATTCTATTCTATTCTATTCTATTCTATTCTATTCTATTCTATTCTATTCTATTCTATTCTATTCTAAATTAAAGACTGAAGACAGCAAACGTCAATCAAGAATAAGTCCTAGTGGATAAGGCTCTCATTGCAAAATATTGGATACTTTCATTGCAAAGCTGTACTGTGCAATGTTACATTTAGAGAAGTTCTTTGAACAAAAAAAATGGAAATGTTCTGCAGATACAATCCACCGTCTGCCACGAAAGCAGAAAACATATGTCTGGCGAGTTCAGAAGCCGAGCCAAATGCTACAAGAGAGGGTTTCTTTCTTCCTTCAACTCATCTTCCCCAGCCTGGTCAGAGCCCACAGATAAACCCTTCAACAACGAGAAGGATGGTTGCGGGTCAGATAAAGCACAGGAACCTCACACTGCTAAAGAGTGGAGTTAAAGATTGGTTCTCTGTGCTGGTTAGATTTTTTGCTTTGGAAGGGGTGTGTGAGTGGGTGTGCGTGCATGTGTTTTCACTCTGTGTCCAAGGGCTCATTTTTCTGGTTTTAATTGAAAAGAAAAAGAAAAACAAAAAGGGAAAATGAAAGAGATGAGTTAAGCTGCCTCTTTTGATCTCTCCGCTTGCAAGGAGAGGTTTTCCTTCTGTCCTGAAACTGATACCCATTCCAAGCCCAGGATGGAAAGAGGCTACCAAAACACAACTTTGCAAAAAAAAAGAAAGCCATGTTCTGATTACACACCACCCACCCACCTCTCTGAAAGACAGAGAAAGTCACCTGAGTCACCTGGACTCATATCATCCCCTCTCTAACATCAGCATACTTCTTAGCAGCTTGCTTTCCTGTACAAATTTGCGTGGCTCGTTCAAACCTCTAGAGCAGCAATCCAACAACCGAGGGCTAATCCCATCCAACATGACAAAACAAAACACAATCGGAGTGTGTGTGCGTGTGTGTAAATCGTGCCTCTGCCTGTCCCAGATAGAAAAAAGAGAATAACAGAGTTGGAAGGGATTTTGGAAGTCTTCTAGTCCAATGTAGACTTGTACATCTCATCAAAGATGTAAAACCTGAATCACCATTATGCATGATTCCTATTCTTCTTCCCACCCACCCACCCAAGAAGCATTTTTATTTTTACAGAATTATCCCCACGTCCCACAGTCCTAAAACTCACCACGCTGTGGGATGAGTGGTTGGGTGGATGGATGGATGATGAGGGAGAGGTGGAGGGGAAAAGGAAGAAAGAAAAAAAGAGCCTTACCTCCTTCCCTTTCGATACGTTATGATTTCTTTCTCTTCTCACTCGGTCAGATCTCCATGGGATGTGAGGATTCTTGGTTGCTCCTGAAGTCAGCCGAGTTGTCTCCTCTTGTAGACGAGAAAGCAAGCAAGCAAGAAGAGTTTGAGAGCCACAGAAACTGCCGTGAAAGCTCCCACCTTCTGTTGGTTTCTGTAACCGAGGTCCTTCTTAGCTGATTTCCACTGTAACGGGATGCCTTGGAGACACAGCCAAGCCAGCAAATTAAAGGCACAGTTTCCCTCTGAAATTACACAGACACATTGCTTTATATATATAGGGCCAGACACCCAAGGGGATTTGTGTGTAGTTTATGGCCAGGAGGAAAAAATTGACCACCTCCCACTTTTTCCTCCCCCTCCTTCCTTCAGCATCAAGCCATGTGCGAATAGGAAATCGCTCCAAGTTTGAAAGTGATTCGAGGAGGAGGAGAAATAATTCCCCCCAGAGATTTTAGCCATGGGTGTTCTCCAGACAACACCGCATGGTTTAAGTTTTGAATATTGATGTTTCTCCCCATTGAAGGGAGGCAGGATTTCTCCGCAGCAGGGATACAATAACACCTTCCAATCAACTCTGCTATCCAAATGTGCGATGCATGTGTGCATTTTCTCTTTCCTCTCCACCCTACTCCACCCCCCCGAGCTCCCCCATATGTTTCTTTCCTTTATTCTACGGGTGAAAAAATTCCACCCCATTTTTCAGTCTTGTTCTACCTTTGTGGCAAGCCACATTTTCCTGGCGGCTAGTTGGGACATTGTGAAAAGAGATGTGGAATCAGGTTTTCTTTTTTTTTTTTCTTATTTGGAAATTATGTGACTGTTCTGGGGAAGACGTACGTTAAGGTCAAGACTGAATCTGTTAGGAGGAGGAGGAAGAAGAGGAATGGGAAGAAGATGAAGAAAAGAGAGGAGGAGGAAGAGGAGAAGGAAGAGAAGGAGGGGGAAGAGGAGAAGGAACACACGGAGAAGGAGGAGGAGAATCATTTCTTTCTTATTTAGAAATTATATGACTCTCCTAGGGAATATTAAGGTCAAGACTAAATCTATTCGGAGGAGGAGGAAGAAGAGGAAGAAGAAGAGGAAGGGGAAGAAGAGAAAGGAAAGGGAGGCAGAGGAGGAGGAAGAGAAGGAAGAGAAGGAAGAGGGAGGAGGAAGACATGGAGGAGGAGGAGGAGGAGAAGAAAATCTCAGTCTAAACTTTTGGGCTCCTTTCTGACAGAGAAAGATGGAGGAGAAGGAAGAGGAGGAGGAGGAAGAAGAAAAAAAAAGAGTGAAGGAGAAGGGGAGTGGAGAAGGAGGAGGAGAAGGAGGAAGAAGAAGAAGAAGAACTACATATCTCCCCCTTCCTTCAAATATCCGATAAAAGGAGTTTTCATTCATATGTTCTTCTTCAAAGGATGCCAAAAAAGAGAACCTTGCAATGTGATGCTATGATCCAAATCCCAACTTTGCACCCTTGGATTCCCCAAATCTGACGCTAGCACATTTGCTTCGGGTTGACCCAGTGCATGATATGTCACTTGATCCCACTACGCACACTCACAGGCTGCCCCCTTTGTATCGGAGGGCAGAGAAAACACAAAGGTAACCCTTGTGACTGAACTGGTAACCGGGCATTTGCTCTTGAGGTACCCTTGAGCAGAAAGCTGGCCATCTGCACCGTTAGGAGACCTCTTGTCAATGTCCAACTTGAGACCATGGGGATGGGATGAATCCCCTCCTTCAGTGTTGGTGGATGGGCAATTGGGGAAAGGTTGCCTGTCGTAAGGAGGTGTTTTGACATCTGTGCTGGTAATAATTCTTTTCCCTTTTCCTGGGCAGGAGGATGCCATAAAGCTGAATGAGACGCAATGTCCACAGGGCCAGGGTTAGGTGCCAATATGGGTCCAAATAGCACTGAATTGAAATAATGGATGAGAATACATTTTTTTTCCTGAAGATGCTCTTGAGATAGTCCTTATACTCTGCTTAAAAACTCCAATGTTACACTGGGGAAGACAATGACAATCAAATTTGGATATATGCAGCCCTAAAACACAGCAGTCTATCTGTCTGTCTGTCTGTCTATCCATCATCTATATTTGTCTGTCTATCCATCTATCCATCCATCCATCCATCCATCCATCTATCCATTTATCCATCTATTCATCCATCCATCAATCCATCCACTTGCCCACCCACCTGTCCATCTATCTATCTATCTATCTATCTATCTATCTATCTATCTATCTATCTATCTATCTATCTATCTATCTATCTATCTATCTATCTATC